TGCGGTTGCCCTGTGCTGAGGCATACCTGATCCATCGATCTTTGGTGAAGATCACGACTCCGCCTCGCCAAAGTTGGGGAGACGACAATACACTCGCCAGACTTGGAGAAAGTCTTTCAGTGTGTTTGTTGAGTGCAATTGAGCAGATCAAACGAGAAAATCAAAAATGAAAGTCCAAATGGGCAAGGCGAGATCCAGGAACTAAATGTCGAATGAAGTTAAATTGAGCAAGTAGGAAGGCAGTGTAAAAAAAGAGGTAAAAAGCAAATGTCTGTCTATTTAATCTCCTAATCTAAATTATTTAGCCGTCATTCAAAGAAATACAAATAGCTGTCGTTGCTTAAGAAACTAAATTCGAACAATTCTAACTTTTTCTTGAACCCACTTTTCTAACAAAATTAACTTGAATATGTACTTTATAATCGTAACACCACATTGGGATGGATTTTCTTCTAGGATTAAGTTGATAAGATTCTTAAAAGTGTAGTGAAGCCATAGATATAATCCGTCCTTAAAACATGTTATCTTCAGGAAGCCCCCATCAGAAAAGTTTCATGCTACTGTAATTAGCGTCTCATGATTTAATTCCATCTGGGGAAGCCCCCATCAGAAAAGTCTCATGCTCAAGATCAAAAATCCAATAGCGAATACTGAGAAATAATTTTGCAATCTGAGACCAGAGATCCGTTGGAAAGATCCAGAAAATTGAACTTACAGCGTGTAGCTGTTGATCAACAAGGAGGATTAGGTGACACAGGAAAAGGGATTAGATGGCAGAAGGTTCCATCAACATCGGAGCGCAAGGGAGCAGTGAGCATTTGAAGTAAATGATGTCGCTATTCAAGTTCTACAAAAAAGGCTTTCTTTCGTATAAATTTTATACATTGAGGCGGTGGGGTTGAAGGGTCCTTTATAACGCTGAACTGAGCAGCTTTGTATGCATCAAAATTATTAAAGAATTGAACTCAGGAGTTTTGTTGTTTTGCATAACGCATATTCGAAACAAACATTTATGCGCAGTCATAATCACAAAATCCCTGAGTATGAAGACACGTGGACTATGCTCTCAAACAAGATATCGAGACAATTATAAACTTTTTTGAGGCTTCTTTCTATGCCATATCGAGCCAGTAACGAATACCTCCCTAACAAGGGAAGGATACTTGGTGACCTAGGCCTTTCGCAGTGAGTATAGCAGTATACCAGTAGATGCGCCTTGAAGCTATTTCTAATGATAATGTTCACTATCCGCTGTGCGATTCCCTGAAGGAAGTTATGAAGTTTTTTCCATGTTAATTACAAAAAATCTAGGCAGATAGAATCGTCAGTATCCAGGCTTAGACTCGGACTTTTCGGAGGCACTTTTGCGATACTAACTGAAGCTTTATTTTATTTGGACGGGCTCTTTTGTAGTGCATAAATCGACATTCCAACAAATTTGGGAAGCTTGTCACCAATCAGTGCAAATGCTTATAACTTCTTTTGGAGGAGCGCACAGCAGATAACGAAGCCAGATTTGGAGTCAGCGTTTTAATATGCATATGCATTTGATGGTGTACATTTTATCCCAAAAGGCGACAGTCATCAAGTATTCTTTTCTTATAAGTCTGCTGTAGCTGCGGTAATACCCAAAGAATGTTTAGAGTCTAATCTTTGTATTCCATTAACACATTGACGACCGCTTGGCATGGGAGAATTCAAAAGCACATTAGAGGTATTATCAAACAAGACGAAAGAAAAATGCTGTATAAGCACTATTCCAACAACGTTTGTAAATTAGAGAATCTAAAAGTTTCCATTTTGGATAATTTACCCGATAACAGTGACAAAGAGATACTCAGAAACAAAGAGCTTTTCTGGATAAAATTGTTAATGACACCATACCCGTTCGGATTCAATGATAATATCAAAGGCTACGGAAACCTAAGCCTCATAAAAAATCCACTCATACATGGAGAATCCCACCCATTTTTCAGTCTAAAAATAATCAAAGAAAGAAACAACAGAGGAAAACATAGGCATAAGAAGAAAAACAAAGCAGATAGTAACACAATAGCGAAAGATATTGAAAATCTATTTGAGACTACAACGAAACCGTATGAAATTTTTAGATTTCTAAAATGTAAACCCAATACTTACGTCAGTAGCTTGATATATCTGATTACAAACGCACCCGACCATATTCATATTACAAATAATGAAAAATTGATTTTGTATAGTGCACTATGCTATTATCATTTTCCAAAAAAAGAAAATAAAAACCAGCACGAAACTAAAAAGGTAGTAAACATCAAAATTCCTTTCCACAATTCTATTCTCAATAACATCAATTTAAACAAGATATTCAATAATCATAATATAATAAATATAATAAACAATAATAAACAAGAATATAGAAAGGTTAGAATCATTTATACCTATGATAGCCCTGTTTCCAAAAAAGTTTTTAACTACAACAAATTTTTAAGAGACACTTATACGCAAAACATAAGTTCTATTCCTTGTATCTGTAACCAGTATCCCGATTTCATTTGCGCAACATATACCATGTCGTAACAGGAAATACCAAAATAAAAATTTGCAAATATACAACATACTAAATAAAGGAACGAAATTCAGACTTCCAAGTAATCTCAAACCTGGACACTTCAAACAACTATGGACCGAAATAATTAAAATTTTGTTGGAAAAGATTAAAAAATTGTATCGGGTCAACTATCAAAGCGCTAATCAGATTAGACATATCGTATATTCCTCATTTCAGAAAATTTTACCAAAATTATTGTATACGAAAGAACTTTGTGCATACAATATTGATAATAAAAAGCTTGATTACATTCAAACATATTTCGTTCTATGTCCTATAGATAAAGCCAGTTCCAACTACGGTATCATATGCAAAAGACTTTATATGTCAGTTATAAAAGAAATGAATTTGACCAACAATATCACTAACAACAATATATATAACAAGGTTTACAATAGCAACGCACAACTCATTATAGACAAACGCATTTACAATTTTCAAAAAATATCAAAATTTATGATGAATCTTGTCGTAAAATACCGATCATATATTGCCTTCCCAAATTACATAAAAATCCAGTTAAATTCAGATTCATTACTGGAGCTTACAATAGCAGCACTAAACCGATGGCCATGGAATTGCTAAACATTCTTTCCTTTTTCAAAAAACATTTTAAAAATTATGCACTAGCTGTAAGAAACAACAAAAAATGTTTACAGACATATTGGTCAATTGATGATATAAATATATCAGGAGACTTATCCAATTATAACCAAAAAACGTAAAACTTTTTTCTGCTGACTTCACTAACATGTTCACTAATATACCACATACAGTAATTTTTGATAATCTCAGGGAGATTATGAAACTGTGCTTTAAGAATGCAGATAAAAAATGCATAGCCATCAATAAATATAATAAGATTACATATTCATCTACAGAAAAAGATAAAATGCAGGTGCTATAAAATACAAGATATACTTTTCCTTTTAGATTTCGTTCTAAACAACAGCTACTAGTTGGACAGTCACTTTTTTGTCAAAAAACAGGAGTAGCACAAGGTGGGAACGCTAGTCCTATTATAGCTGATCTGACTCTATCCTACCTAGAATATAAGTACGCCTGTACAGTTAATCCCAAATTTACATTTCAAGCCTATAGGTATGTGGATGACATTTTGATTATCCACAACAGTGACAATGCAAATTTCTTGATATTCTAAATGCTGTTTATGATAATATTCTCAAAATGGAAGTTACTCACAGAACATCTAACGAATGCAACTTCTTTGATCTAACTATACAAATTATAGACGATGTTATAATTTGTAAACAATTTAGCAAAACCGATGAATTCAACTTCGATGTTATCAGATTTTGTCATGGAAGCTCATACATAAGCAATAACTTGAAAATAGCTATGATATATACAGAGGTACTTCGAATATCTAGAACATGTAGTTTATTTAAAGACTTCGAAAAAAGTTTGATAAGATGCATTAATTGTTTTATTAAACTGGTATAAAAAAGAGTTAGTAAAACATGCAATTTCAAAATGTTTAACATATAATAAAGCCATTACTTACAAATATAACTACTTAAATGTATACAAAACCACCAAAAAATTTGTCAATTACATCATAGGAACCATAGAAAAAGATTAGATCATGTTTTTAGATCATAGCCTGGTCCTGCCTTGATTTTTGATCTAACCGCTCACGCCCCCTATAAATACCCCCCACTATATATACACAATTTGAGTGAAGACTACCACTACTACCACCACTCCTCCCCTACTGATGAGCCTCGGGAGTGGTTAGCCTTCCATTCTTCCCTGTCTAGGGGCAAGAGGCGAAACAGGACTATTTTTCTCAACAGAGTTTTCATAATTTGAGCAAATTCGTTGAATCCTTCTAGAGTTTATTGAATTTTGGTACCTCCCATACAAATGAAGAATGATTAATCTCTCGCGCTTTCGTGTAAACAATAAACAACAGCAACAAAGCAACCATGGCTAACGGAGCAGTAACGCCGGCTAGTAACAGGGGAATAAATTCCACAAGTTCTCTTTAACAGCAAAAATCACAATAAATGCTTGTGTGTAGCAATAGATGGTATAACAGCCCAAATCGTGCTGATACATAAAAGTACAGCTGGAGATAGGCGATTGCAAATTCAGTTTCATGTACTATTTTCTTCAATTCGCTTGCTACTGATGGCATATCTTGACGTTGCAATTTGTTGAATCTCGGAAGTGCGTGATTCAACACTTGATTCATATTCATCGACACTGCGCGTGAAGAAGCGCTGCTCGACTTTCTTTTGTTCATTATTTGTCTTCGAGAGCTCGTGTCTGGCAATAAGTTTACCATCTTCGCTAATTTTATATCACGTTTTTGTGCTTGGTTTTAAAGTGAAAAGCAGTGCTCAGTCCAATAATACTCAGTCAGAAATTATTTCAGGTGAAGTTATCCATGCATCATGTAACCGAGCATTCGGAATACATAGATGACTACAGTCGTCAGGTATGCGTTACTCACCTTCAGAGGCCGGGTTGTAGTTTATAGCTTGAGTGAGTATATACAAACTTTCAGCCAATTCCTTTTGCACGGTCGGAGTATCTGTTGTACAATGTGAACGACGAGCACGGTAGATATGGGTCCATTGTTGAGCAGGTAAATTCGATACTCTAATTCTATGAACTTTGACGAGAATGATTGCTTACAGCAAGGAGTCATCGAAAACCAGTCATCCATGTTAGTCAAGCAACATTATCCTAAGGTATTACATGTTTGAGATAATCTCCCTAACGTTTTCTACAAAGCTTGCAGGCTTTATAACAGAGCTAGGCACGCATTTTTCGTGATACTATTTAATTCTCTGATACTATTTACTGGCTTACCTCATGACTTACTGTTCAGATTCTGCGTGCCTTTCCGAGCGAATTCGAGGCTTTCCAGTGTTTTCCGTTTTGCAAGGCATTCCAAGTTGCTTGCGCTATTAAGAGTGTGTCAAAAATTTACTCCTTTTCAGGAAAGTACAAATGTTCCAAATGAGGTCGATGATGTCTGCGTTGGATCTTGGGTTACAATAACATTCATATCGCAATCGACGGCACAATTGCCGACCCCACCACTTTCACCAGAACCCGAAACTCCACCTCCCATAGAGGCTGTGATAGATCTACCGCCGCCGACGCCAGAAGTATCTCTTCCTCCACCTGTACATCCATTGTACGTTACTGACAAATCTGTCATAGTTTACTGAATTACGTGAATGAATGTTGGCATTATAGTATCGCACGCTTTTCATGTCATAAGCAAATGATATGGGTTACGTTGCGAAGTAAATGGATTGTTCGACTCTCTATGAACCTCGGTATGGCGTAGATATTGTAGTTGTCTATGTAAGCCGGCTTACATAGACAACTATGATTTGTGTTATTTTGCTTATTTGTGAAGCTGATAAGCTGCAATACCAGTCATCGCAAATGGCGAACATTGAGTGCTCTCTATTTATCAGCTTTACTAATCACAGTCCGGTGATCCTGCAGCGATGAGGTCGCGCGCTAAAGGTGACAGCCTTCAATATCAAGCTGTTTTCGTCTGTTCCAATAAATAGTCGTTTAGACAAGAAGGTAAAGGAGAGAAGAAAACGCAGTAGAAAGAGTAAAAAGGGTAAAAAAAGTAAAAAGGAGAAGAGCTTACCAAAGATTCGAAAAAGATCATCCAAGAAAAGTGGTGTGTGAGATTGATCACCTGCAATGATCTAAGTGATGCGTTGTCGCAGAAAAATCGAAAAAGAAATCTTCTGCTTCGAAAAGGAAACGCAGCAAGGATAAGGCTCGAGCTGGGAGTAGAAAGAAGCTTTCGTCACCGAGACGGTAGGACGCTGTAACGGTGTTACATTACGCAGATGGGCATAATGTAGTACTACCAACAACGGCTATGATATATAAGACCAGTGCGTCACCTCTGCCTCGCAGAGGCTCGCACTGGCCTCGCTATCTGTATGCCTAGCTCATTCCCGCAATAATGACATTGAAACTCACCGTGCCATGCAGACTATCATGAATGATTCGTAAACAACTACTCATTTCTATAACTTTTTCATGTGAGATCGGTAATTTCCCGTGAATGAAACTTTTCCCAAAAGAAAAATGCAAATTTAAGTCGGCTTTGGACTTTTTATGGCTTGGTAGTCTCCTTGAGGACAGTGATCACCGTGGGCTACATCTCTGTGCAAAAATTTCAACAAATGATCAGGTAAACTCTTGGCAAATTAAAGTTTACGCAATCAATTCTTTTTGGCGCCACCTTCGTAAAGGAATAAACTCATTCACTTTTTTGGGCTAAAGTCCATGGCTTGCACATTAGCTTGTCAAACGTACTCATGACTTTGCAAAAAGTGCTGCTACATGCACAATTTTGCTGGCCAGAAGTTAAGTGGATCCGTTTGAAACGCAATTTTTGAGGGATCCATTCAACGGATCCGCTCGTCCTTTTGTATAGTGGACTTTCATGCTTTTAGCATGCGCCATGCAAAATTTGGGCTCGGGACGTTAGCTGCAACATGCTTTACGAATTTCGTAACGGACAGATACACACACAGACAAAAAGACAACAACCCTTAGTCCATTATTATAAGTCATGATAGTAACTAGACCACTTGGCGATTCTGTTGAAAGCCATTCCTATTTTCATCAAACAGTTTTTACTCGAAAACAGCTGCTTTTGATCCTGACTTTGATTATGGCCGCCATGATCAAGAAAAATCGTTGTGTCAAATATTAGAAACATCGTGATAGAGCAGATTTGCTGTAGACCGCACTTTCAAATAAATCTGAACAAAAGAAATCATTATTTATGGTGATAGGATTGATTGCCCGATTGACTGAACATTGAGTAAAATGTTGGCTGAGGCTGCGGCACATATTACTAGTGCTATTTGTGTTACCAGTGTTAATTTACCAGTGTTGCCAGTGTTACCAGTCCGTCTACCCGCGTCATTTACTCAGCTTACCACTGTCACACATTATGTATTAGTAGTCACTAGGTTATTGAAGCTACCGCTTTCATTGCTGTTTAATAATAAAATGATGACCTTGACGACCCATTTCTTTGAAATGAATCCACCGATTGGTGAGTTTGAAAGGGACACATTGGGATTATGTAATGTTACGAGAAAGACGCTGAGTGCTGTCCATCTTGTGGCTTGCTATTCAATAAGGGCAACGACCTATTAGACGCAACACCTACAAGCGGTGGAGACATATCGCTTCATATGTTATAAAGAATGGTAACTAACTTGAGATTGTGTTCGCGCAAACTGCTTGAACTTCAAAAAACAAGGTAAAGAGTAAAGCTTGAGCTGACATAGACAATGACTGAAACATAATCATAGTAAAAGTGGACCTGTAAAGCCTTCGGTATTGTGACGTCTGTGCAGCTTACATAACGCCTAAAGTGGCTCATAAAAAGATTTTGGTGAATTTAAGCGCCTGGCTCTTTTCAAAGTTTTTAGGCTTTTTTGAGAGGGTCTGACGGGTCTATTCAATGCAACACAATCTTAAATGTATACACGTATTGTTGCTTTAAATAGCACGTTTCGAAATTTCCATAACTCCTCCTAATTTGAAGTTTTCAATCATTCCCTATGTTTCAGAAAGTTTTATACGGTTTCGCAAAAACATATTGCATTTTTTAACGACTCGTTTGCTTCTTATATTTTCTCTGAGGTTTCATCGTATTCATAAAAAGTTTTGAATCGGGTAGAATTTTTTCCAATATTATTTTTTTTCAAGCATACCAGTTGAAAGAAAAAAACGTAAGCATTGGATAGAGGAGGAGTTTTTACAACAAGAAGGCGTACAGGGAGAGAAATTAGAACACAAAAAGGAGCCTGAAGCTCAAGAGAAAGAGAAAAGGTGAGAAAATAATTTTTTCCTCTTTGCACACGTCATGCTTATGATTTCGTTCACTTTATCATCACCAAAATCGCGGCATCATTGATTGTCATGCAATAAAGTAAATAAAGTAAATAAGTATGGAGCGTGCCTTTCTAATGAATTGGGGCTCGCTTTCTTTCGCTAACTGGTCATATCTTCAGAAAAAGCAATGAACCAGTTTTGCCAGTGATGGACACTCAACAAGCCACCTCTGAGAGCAAAGAGAAAAAGTACGTTAAAGATGAAGCACCGTAGCTAATAAGCCACTTGTAGGACGCGTTTTTGGTCGAATGGCCTTTTCGGATCAAACCGTTTTGTAGAGAAACGCCTATTTCGAATCTACCCTTGGTAGCTGCTGCGCGCCTCTAAACTTCGAGTTACGTGCTTTTGGATCAAAAAACGCACAACCTGAATAAAATCAGTCGTTGCTGCCCTCCAGCGCTCACATAGCAGTGGCTAGTGTGAGTATATTCGTTAGAAAACACTTAGGGCTTAAAGGCAGTGGATCAGCAGAATGGACCCTTCTCGAATTTTGGTGGATTTAGGTAGTAGATCCCCCCACCCAAGACACTGTAGCCCTAACCCCACCTGCCAATTCATGCGCTAAGTATTGAAAAGGCGCTTCAAAACTCCACCAGCCCCGCCCCTTTCCATTGAGTGGGCGGAGCTGGTGGAGTTTTTAAGCAATTTTTCAGGACTTAGCGCATGAATTGGCAGAGGTTTGGGCTACAGCGTACTTGGGGGTCTACTACCTAAATCCATTAAAATTCGAGAAGGGTCCATTCTGCTGATCCACTGCCTTCAAATTGCCCCATTTCCCAACACTTGCCCATCTGAGCTTTTCTGAATGATTTTGCATTGATTACGCGTACCTTTTTTTTGAGTCGAAGATTAAAACTCAACGTTCAGAGCTGCACAGCAGATATCGAAGGCAGCTTTGAAGTCAGTGTCAAATGCTCTTTGGAACTGTATGAATTTTATCTGGAAATGCCACTTCGACCAAGAGCGCTTTCCTTGTTAATGGTGTATAGGTGTTTGTTTATTATGTACAGTGCGGAATGGCTTAAGTTAAGCTTTCTACTGTGAACATCAGAACAGTGGCTTAGTGATTATGAAAAGATGACCAATTGGTTTCATAGTAAATATGGGAAAAAAGGAGATGGTAAAAAACTGGTTAACTCTTAGACTTATATGCACGTAAATCCCCGCGGGAAGGGGCTGTGTGCTGCCTGCCCCGTATTTTCGAGTCATCTCGCGCACCCTTGCGCGCTTGTAGCAGGCTTGCCTCCGCTATACAAAATATTTGAAGGCTTAAAAAGTTAGGTTGTAGGGTTTTTGACGTGGACAAGGCTATGTTAAACATATGAGAAAATAATGTGAAGGAAGGGAAATATATGACTTTTTCTTTTCACAGCCACCTCAGGTGGCTGTCCAGGTGGCTGAAGAGCCACCTAATTGTTGAAAAAGTTCGCCACGCTTTCAGTTCACATAATTTTTTCATAATTTTTCGCACATAGTCCCAACTCCCTATTGCCCATCTACACACCAATTTTGGTGTCATTACACTTTCTCTTCGCTGTAACCAATTCTTTGTTTATTTCGAAGCAGGTTTGAATTCGCGCGCTTAACCGGCGAACAGGCTCAAACAGGAAATTTTTGGTTTTTGCAGATGGTTTTTACAGATCGAGAAGGCAGAAATGACAATTTGCGTCTTCTCTAAAAGGATAACATGAAGGCAGAAGGCGATTGTGTGTATGGGGGGGGGGGAAAAGGGTTGGGATTTCCGCTTTAACGAAATCACCCTTGCTTTTTATTCCAAAGCGATATCCAGCTTGCCCCGTAAGCCATTTGTGCCGAGCCCTAATTTTGGCTTCGAAAACAGCAAATGCAAGCATAAATGTTGCTATGCATGTATATAACGACTAATTTCAAGTTTTGGTCCGAGTTTCGACTGCTAGAAAAATCGAACATTCTTAAACTCTGGCAAACTCTGCCTGAATTATGATTTGCAAATGTTAGCTGAAAGCTATTTGGAGCTTGCCTTGCTCTATGGGAAACAGGGACGGTTGTAGGATTCCCATCCGGGATGGACAGAAACATTTTCGAGTAAAGTGTGTAGCGTACCAGTGGCGCAGTAGGGTATTTTTCGATTCGTCATCGAATACATATGTGATCAAAACTAGTAAAGCGAACTTTTCATGTAGTATATTGAACAAAACCAATTCAAAGCCAAGAGAAGATAAGAAAACCTAGAGGAGTACTGACGTTTTAAGCCTCAAATCACCCAAGCGATAGGATTTGGAGTAGTATACCGGTTCAAGTCTGGAACCTCTTAATATTTTTATCCGCTGCAATTTCGCAGCGAGCTATGATAGCGAATTCGAAAGCTTTTCCTCGTGTCCCTACGCCCACAAACCAAATAAAATTACTCAATGTTATTGTTAGTGGCTGACAGATCAACTTCAGAATGCTATGAATAGTGTCCTGAAAATAGGTCTTTGCACTTCCATCTTCATAATATCAACATGTGGTTGTCGATCGTTTAGAAAATCGGATGAGAGAATGACAGGTGCAGTTGCTCCCGAATCGCCAGCATCCTTACCTCCAGTGCCACCACCACCAGCTGACGATTACTTTCGAATAAAACCAGCAGAAGGAGACAAGCGTCGAACTGATACTGAAGGCTTACGAGACAAAGTATGATGCTTTTTTATAAATCATAGTTCTGTTTTGAAACAGCGTTAATTGCAGATTTACGGCATCAAACCTGAAAAACCACCTGAGCGGTTAAAGTCATCTCCGCCAATACAAGGAACCCAAGAGGATAAATCTGGTTCTAAACCCAAAGTAATCATTAATGACTCAGTTCTTGAGCTGTACTGCGAGATAAAGTCCACATTTTGTGATGCTTGAGGTGTCATCGCAAAAAGAGTCCGTTTCGATCTCTATAACTGGGCTTCCTGCACCTGCAAAAGTTCCTGCAAAGAAGCATGAAACACCGGAGCTTCCAACAATGGGTAAGATCGCACTTCATGCAGACCAAAGGACATCAATCAGCTTACTTACTTGTGAGAGTGACACAAAGATAACAAGAATGAAATGAAACTTAGGCGACCGTCTTCGAGTTAACATTGATGAGATTCTTCGTCTTGGCGCAATCATGGAGCGACGAAATATGAGTACAGCGAAAAAGGTTGGTTACGAGTACCGTATATGGACGAGGTTTAGGGAAACATAGTTGGATGGTGACGGAATTTGAGGGATGTGAAAGGAAGGGAAAAAAAACAAAAACGTGACCTCGAGAACTTGGTTAAGGGTATATTTGTATGGGGTTGTTGAATGTGATAACATCCTCTAGAGATTAATAGTTTAACCTGCATGCTCTGGATACGAAACTCGATCACTTACATAATATTCCCACCTGCGCAAATTCTTCTATATTTTTTTGACATAAGTAAGAGCATTTTAGTCTAGATTATTTTATAACACTATTTAACTCACGGGTCCACCGCAAACGATTACAATCAATTTGCTCGTTCAAATTCTCTAAAGCATGAAGCGTTAATACATACATAGGGGCACTGTCTCGTCAAATTCTAGGATGCGTAAATCGAATGGATTGCCAGAATTCGCATCGAGACATAAATGAAAGGATTCAATGAAACCTGTGCGCAGCCGTTTGTAACTTGATATGTGAGCTTGCACATGCCGCGCGGTAACGGACGACAAAATATTAACACGTCAGTAAAACCTTTTCTAGCGGAACAGAATGTGAAATAGTGTACTTCTATCTAGGACATATTTATTCGAAGCAAAAGAGAGAAGAAAAAAGGTGAAACACATTCAAATTGAGAGACTGTGGCTTGAAGTAGCGTGCATGATGTAAATAACTAGACTAGTGAGTATAAATTATAGGAAACAAAAAAGAATTGATAGAATCACATGGGAAGTGATTATAGTTACGAATGGATAAAATAATTTGAAAAATTATTATTGCTTGCTCTATGCTCTAAGTTTGAATAAGAGGCTAAGGACGGGTCTGAAATGGAAAGCAGCGTTCCGGCAACATATTGGTTAGTTGGTTTCACAGCATTGTAATGGCAGCCCCCTCCAACTAATCTATCAGTGAACGCTGGAAAGCTGGAAAGCTCTGGAAAGCCTAAAACCCACTTCTGAAGTCTTCCGGACCCCCCCCCCCCCACCCACTCGCTCCGAACTCAGCCCACTTACATGTACTTTTGGGCGAATGTGGACAGGGAGAGCTTCGAAAAAAAACGTCATTTTCATGCGTTGCAAAGTCCAAATATGGGTTCAGCATGGCGAAAACGCTCTGGAAGAGTAAAAACTATGAAGCAGAATTCCGCCAGAACGCTGCGCTTGAGGATCAGGGCAAACCTGTGGTAACTAAAAGACAATTTCATTAAGTAGCACAGAAGTCGAGATAACTGATATACTTCAAGAGATATTTGATGTTCAGGCGTCATTTGAATGGATTGCTTTGAATCGCACCAAAGTCAAGGAACAACCCGAAGCTTTCTCCTCTCACCTAATCTCAGCAGTTGGAGACGTACGACTCGAGAAGTTCGTTAGAGTACCGCCGACTAGAGTACACATTATATAGCACATTTAGGTCACTAGCTTGTGATGCGTTGAATGTGCTGATGTACCAACACACAGTCACTCCAGACGAATATTTACGTCTATGTCAACACTTAGAAACTGTACAAACAATAACAATCGGATTACTTGCGCAACTTCTTAGAACCAACACACAATATTACAGTTCATTAGGCAGTCAACGTTCGGATGTGTTGAATATGGATGCTGCCTACCGATAGAATAAATGAATAGTGCTTATGATGAGTGTTGTGTTTTATGACAACTCAGTACTCCACAAAGTTTCTCACAATCAATTCTGGTCCTTTGTGATTTGGTTTTTCATCACTCAACGACTTTGGTAATTTTCTTCCATTCGTTAGACGTGGTGTCGCTAGTACCTTCTTCACAAAAGCACTGTGAAGTTTCGTCCTAGGGGGGGGGAGGAACTAGAAGAATCTTTTTTGATTGAAGTGCGCTCCAAAAATCCGTTTGGGATGCTTCGTAACTCTTTAAGGCCTCCGAAAAAGGAGACGTAACGGTAGCCAGGTCCCCAAGAATTTTTCGCGAAGGCCATTAAAAATTTGGAAAAAAATAAAGAATAATTATCTATACGAGTAAAATAAGTTCTTTACCCAATTTTTGAGATTAATGCAAGTATCTTGAATACTCCGTAACTGCGCACCTTCCCACTCCCCTTGATCTGGCATTGTTTCTTCATCCATCTAACAGCTTTGAATTTTTCTCGATTTCTTCCTATCTTACTTTCATGAGGGCTCTTAATTCATATAATCCCCTTCTCTGGTACTATGATCTACTTCTGAGGGATCCGTATGCACTCTACGGAAATCATTGCACCATACTACAAGACCATTAGAGCAAATCTAGACCGGGCACTTTCCTTGTTGTTGTCAACATTGAGGCCATTGACGCGACCGGTTTACTGCGCCCTCTGGAAGATGATGTTGTACTAATGCCGAAATACCACACATTCCTCGCATTCGATCCATGTACTTCCCTTTTTTGGCGAGGAAGCGATTTCTGTCTCTTCATGTTTTGTTGTTTAACTGGAGTAGTTCCAATTCCTATCGATATGTTAGCACCTGCCAAAACGTTCACCCCTGCGATATATGATATTTTTTGCTGAAAAGTGCTTCTTTCAAAGTGACCCAATAACTGATTACGCTAAGGAAGAAGCTTGTTCAAAAGATTCCGATGAAAACACACTTTTCATACTCTCTCAGTTAGTAAAAACCGTTCAAAAATCGTTTCAAAATCGTCCACTTATTGTTGGATTGATAGGCAAAAAAGTCTCGCTCCTCTAACACTTCAGCAATGCATCCTGCTCATGTAAATGCCGCATCTGCAGTTTGCCTTTAAAGTGGATCAACGCCTCATTGATGTGCTGAACTGTTTTGCTTTTTATAGCACCAAGCCTCATTCGGTGCGCCTATGCCCCAGATTTTCTAAGATAGTCCTTAAATTAGGATTGAGCTATATGAAGACAAAACATAAATAAATCACCAAGCATAATGAGATGACTATATGAGTTCAACTGAGCACAGATGTTGTTATACCTTGTTGACTCATACTCGGTCATTAAAAGAAACAAGATAAGTATTTCTGAAAAAAGGACGCATATTTAACTACAACGAAAACTGTTGAGGCGCTAGAAACGTTTTGTAATTTGCGTTCGTGAGCTCATGCAATACAGGACTTTGAATCGGCCCATTCTTCGATGCTGATATGCATAGAAGTGGATGAATATCAAATCTTTCTGTACGCTATGCAATAAAGGTGATTTCACTGTTTTGTTCTATGCTGGAATAAAGCACTGCTATAAGTATGCAGAATCATCTTTCTGTTAGGGAGTAAAGTTGTTAAGAGCTGTTAAAGACTAGTTTAAAGCTGAATAAGTAGTGATTTGTAGTGATTTATAGTTAGTGATTTAGCCTCGCACCTTGAATGACCGTAGTGTATGGGAACAAGTTCCGAACTTTTTGCTTTGTCTTTGAGGTGCTCTAGCTCGCCAGGTACTCCATATTTGCCAAGATAGGAAAAAGAAATTCCACTCAACTTTTATGGTCAAAAAAGCGTAAGCATGCAATTAATCAGGTTATCTTTGGGCAGAAACTCGTAAAGGGATACTTTTGACTACAGGGAAAGGATAACTGGTGGCCCTGCTTTTTGGATTATGCTATGCATCAAAATGCTTGCCCTAAGGCCCCGGACGACTTCACGCGATTTGATCGTCGCGACTGAATCGCAACGAGACAACTGTTACAACATCATTCCGTGCCTTCAACTTGCATTTCGGTTGTGATACTTTTCCAGCCCGAAATTTTTAAATGTGAAATGAAAATGAATGGAAATGTCGGCGACTGAGTCGCGACGATCAAATCGCGTGAAGTCTGTCCGGGGCCTAAAGCGCTGATCTCGAAAGTATGTTGGGTATCTGCGATGTGCTTTTCTAATTACAAGAAGAACTAGCGCTTGTAAAAGCAAAGATATTCACACCACCACCTCTGCTCCTGAGCACTTCCAACTGCACATTGTTCATCTTGAACAGAGATGCCCTCGACGGCCTCGGTGTTCCTCATCCACGTAAAGTTCGTTGCACTGACCTTTGAATCCAATCAAGAATAATCAGATTATTGTCTACATCCTACTTTTGAGGACCACACAATGAGATTATCAAGTTCATTTCTGCGCCCAGCACTGTTTGCACGCAGAGTTAAGGTTGCCGCACACGCCCAAAGACCTCAGAATTCGGCTCTATGTGCTTACCTGTTCCTTCGCCCACTCGTTCTTTTTGCTCCTCGAACTGTACGAACAGTTGATCTTGTGTTGGAAGTTAGTGATCCTTGATACAAAATTTTATTGTCCATGAAAAGCCGTTATAAGAGTCGGATTTTTGACAATCCTTTATTTACTGAAACTCTCTCTATATATCCAAAATGTTAGCATTTGAAATATTAAGTTGATTGAAAAGTTGTCGCTTTGATTTTAAAAAATTCGTAACTGCTTCCTATGTGAACGTATTGACTTACAAAAAACACCTCCAGATAGAGAACGTTTATTTCTAACACAGCTTCCCTTCTCTTTGACGACAAACACTCCAGAGATAAAAATTTGAATGTGAGAACCATTCAAACTCGTGATTTTCGAAAATAAATCTTCAAAAATCTAAACCGCTGCGGAAAAATCTGGGAACAGGTCTATTACAATCTATGTAAACTGCTCTAACATTCCAAGCTTTTGCTGATCGAGAATATCTATGAGAAGCTATGATTTTCGTGAAAAAAAAACGGCAGAAATGAAATTTTTGGAATTTTCTGCATTTCCAAGAAAATTATAACTTTTCATAGAAAAGCTCTATCAGTACAAGCATGACAATGTCAGAAAGAGCAGCTCACAAAACTTATAAGAAACATACTAAAATTTGACGATTTATTCTCGAAAATCACGAGTTTAGGTGGTTTTCATTGGTGGTTCAAAATTTTATTTCTGAAGTCTTTTGTCGTCAAAGATAGCGCAGATGTATTTAGAAAGTTAGTGATATTCCCTATGCGGAGGAATTTTTTGCAAGTCAATACGGTCACGCAGGCAGCAGTTACCAATTCTTCAAAATCAAAGCGACAGATCTTTTGAAACAACCTACAAAGCGACAGAACTTTTGAAACAACTTAATGTATAGGTAGAGTAACATCTGCATCCTTTTTTCATAAACTCCATAACGCCTTCTAATCTACGCTTAATATTTTATACATAATCTTTAATAAGGTTCAAACAATCCAAAAATTAAATTTTTGAACTTTTTCGCACGAGCGAAGTTCTGCAGCAAGGACGATCTGAGGCAGCTCATTGACCTTTTGCATAACATCAGCAGTTCCTCCATTTCGTGAAATTTTCGTCTTTCACACATGAGTGAACTAGAAAATTGCATCTTGGCTTAATCCCTAATAATTACAATTTCTTCCAAACGTAACGAAATGCGTCTAGAAAGTAGCACGTATATCAAACCAGCCTAAATCTAGATATTTGGAGAAACACAAGAATTAATTACTTTTTCATTCACTCTTGCAGTTCTGAAATTTCTAGAAGCTGTCATTCTTGGGGTGTGAGTTAGGTGCAAACTTGCCCTCTGTGACAATTTGCACCTTTGGCGACGGCATCACGGGTAACTACCACATCCTGTTCCGTTCTTTCTTCATCAGACATTTAGCTCGACCTTCCCTATGGGGGATAGTCCTCGAATGTCTAGTCAAAAGTCCTCGAAACTTCTCCAATTTTAGGTTTCTAATATTTTTGCAGGAAAGCAATTTTGAATTTGAGCGCTTTGTTGACATCAGTATTCTGCCACAAAAGTCCAAGTTCTCTTGCAAATTTATTTGAAAGTTACCTTGATAAGTGTAGACTTATTATGGCTCGAGTTCTTAGATCAACTCAAGAGATCAACTATCAACAAAAACTTTTGAAAATTTCAAGGGAGTCTATTTGCAGTTCTAGAGATTTTTTTACTTTAACATTAGTTCAAGGTACATTGTATCAGCTGAAGCCTTGATGCTAGTTGTCTCACCTTTTGATATAACGAGACTGGCGGCTGAAAGGTGGGGTTTCGGGGCTTAATCCGGGCTAGAGAATGATCAGAGAGCGCTCTCGTGAGAGAGACGCAGACTGCGTAGCATGTGCGAGCGGTCGCTTTCCAGCCGCTAATCTCGTTGAATCAGAGGGTGTAAAAATGTTAACTGAAGCGGCCTAAAATTATGCCAAGAGTGTAAATGGTTGTAGAGTGATGAGTGGTACAGTCTGGAAGTTATGTCTGAAGTTAACTTCAGTGTTTTGGTATACGAATACCTAGTTCAATACTATGTTGAGAATCTTTCCTTAGTCTTAATTCTAATGCTGTTCTCAACCTCTAATTTATTGCTGGGATCTTGGTAGATATTAAAACTGCATGCTTTCCCACTTCAAACTACATCGATTCTTCTTTAGTGCCATGTTGCACAAAAATCTGTCTCGAGACATTGAACGTAGCAATCAGTTATAACACTTCTAATTAATCTTTTCCAGAACGAAACGAATATGTGTTACCCTCAAGGACTGCCGGAATGCTCGCAAGGGTGAGTCACGTTACATATGAAGTATGATTTTTTCACGTTTTTCATAAAATCTTCTGAAATCACCTACATCAAGTGTGGGATTTAGTCATACGTCAACATTTATATATCAACTAGGGCTCGGCACGATGTGGCTTT